CGTGTGTTTTCTGCACCCTTCTTGAATTAAGGAATTTCACTTCAGAATAATTTGGTTATTAATCAATTTACTTAATCATCGATCAACAAAGATTTTAGGACAATCTCATGAGAACCGGTGTGTAACTACCTGGAATGTGAGTAATTGAATACTTGTACAACGTTATGGAACAATTTCATCTCATTAATGGTAGCATCTGAGATAAAATTGTTTTAGAAAAGAAATGGCTTCATAATAAAAATTCTACTCAACCATGCTTGTTGTACCCACCACTTTGTACCCACCTTATACCCACCTCTGTGAAGGCTGTTTTTTTTTGTCTGTGAAGCCGGTTCACAGACAAAATATGTCTTTGAATTCCTTCACAGACATATTTTGTCTGTGAAGGAATTCACAGACAAAAAAAATAACTTCACAAACATGGGTGGTACAAAAGTGGGTATAAAAGTGGGTACAAACATCATTTTCCAAATTAAAAATAGATGTGTGATACTAAAATGAGCAAAGAAAATAGAAATGAAGACAATGAGGATACAGATATGCAAATTAACATAGGGGGAGTTATGTTAAGCTAAAAGGTTCTGATACCTTTGTATAACTAACTTAATGAAACTTCATAAAAAATAAACAAATACACGTAAGCTGCTTACTTTGCGGTTCAGACCCCTTCATTAGAGTAAATAACTAGATATGCTAGAGATTAAAAGAGTATGTCACAATGCATCTCAATAAATCAAATTCTAGAATTTTCTCTTTCGTATTGAGTACATATAAGGAAGACTTTTAAATTCCAAGTGATAGAATATCATAAAAATGTATAAAATTAAAGGGTTTGTCAATGAAAAGTGATTGTATTCAATGTACACATCACATATTATTGGGCATTATCCTACACGCGCAACGCGCGTTGTAAAACTAGTATATGTATGTATGTATGAATATCTTACCGGTCAAACTAGCCTGATAGGAACACTACTCTCCTTCCGGTCACCGCCGTTTGGGGCGATTCCCGGTAGATACTTTCGATGAAATTTTTTGAACATGTTCCTCATCAAGTCTAATTCATCCACACAAAAAAACAGCTAAAAATTCAACCAAGAAGACAATCAAATTTTTTTTTTGAAGATAACTGCGTCAAAATATACATATAAAACACATTTATCACTTCATCAATAGAAGTGATAAATATCAAGACACTTCCCTGAGTGTATAATGCTAGTGTCAATACTGGAACAATTGGGGATACCAAAAAGAGAAGTATATAAAAAATCAACAAATTCACATGCATGCTAAGCTACTTGATCCATAGAAGTAGTAGATTGTCCATTTTCAAGCTTAAGAGCCGAGATGGAGTTACTTAATGAATCTATCACTCAAAATCAAGTGGTTTGCCTTATTATTAGCCTTTTTTTCAAAATTAAAGGAAGCTTCCTCGGCCTTCTTAAGAAAAATTACTCTCTTCTTAATCAATGAAAGGTCATTTTTAAAGTGTCATCAAGAGGAGAGAGTAAAGAAAGTTCGATTAATCTTTTATACTCTCTCTTAGATTCCTTCACTTTTTTAGAAATATGCCCAAATTCAGTATGATTAAGTTCCTTGAGTGGTTTCTTAAGAAGCTTAAACTTACGGACCATTCTAAACTGAGCATTCCCAAGTATGTTTTGATTCCAACGGCTAATAAGTACAGTCTTGAAAGAATCATGTTTAATCCAAGTGTTAAAGAACTTAAAAGATTTTGTACCATTTGAGAAAGGTTGTCCAATAGTACGTAACAACAGATGCAACATGATCAAAATCAACCTCCAAATCACATAAATGAGTGCTACAACTAATATTTTGGGAACTCCAAACAGAATTCATCAAGACCCTATCAAGTTTGGCTCACGGTGAGCCCCTATTCCAAGTAAAGAACACCCCAGAAGAAGGGGTATCCACAAGATTAGTTTGGATCTTCAAATCATTCAAATGTTGCATAAAGGTAACCCGAGGGGGTGGGACCCACCCTCTCACTAGGGCTGCACACACAGTTGAAATCTCCCATTATTAGTCGGGGACTAGTAATGTTAGATTCTAAACTAGCAATGTGTTCCCAAAACTCTCTCCTTTCCGCAACAGTGTAAAGAGCATACACAAAAGTAATAAAGTACTACATATTATTTTTGTGAGATCCTACACACCATCTTACAATACATGTGTTTGTTTCTCAATCTCCAAAATGACCATGTCAATAAAGTTAGGGTCCCAAAGTAGGGCAATACGTCCACCCTTAATCTTGTCAAAATTAGACGAGTGTAGCCAATTAGGCATAAGGTTTGTCATGAATCTATCAAAGTTGAGGGTGGATAACCAGGCCTGTGCCTTATGTTAGGCTGGAGAGGCCCAAGTCTCAGGGCCCCAAAAAATTGAAAAAATTAGGGGCCCATAATTTTTTAAACATTACTATTATTATACCTATGTATTTTCCAACTTCCAAGGCCGTCACCATTTGAGGCGGTTCTTGGTGAAATTTTTTGATGAATTTTTTTGAGCATATTCTTCATTAAATCTAATTTATCCATACCAAATTTCAACAAAAAATTCAATCGGGAAGGCAGTCAAATGAATTTTTGAAGATAACTGCGCAGTTAAACATCACAGTATATTTCAGAAAATCATTTGACTGCCTTATTTGTTGAATATTTAGCTGAAATTTGGTATGGATAAACTAGACTTAATGAAGAAGATGCTCAAAAAAATTTATCAAAAAATTCCACTGGGAACCACCCCAAATGGTGACGGTCGGACATAACCTCTTATATAAGGGGTGATTTGCACTTTTTAAGTTAGTTCGAGGGCTGATTTGTAGAGCAAGTTTATAGTATATATTGATGAGGATTCCACTAAATTATGTATCTAAAACTATTTGACGGGTTTTACTCAAGTAATTTTTTAATACATTCAATGTCGTTTTGTGATAATGGAAGACTTCTATTGAAAGATTGAGTTTTTGTGATATTTAATCATTCATTTTAGTGAATTTATATGATAAACAAACACTATATATGAGGCCCATTTTATAAAGCTCGACTCAGGCCCGAGTTTAGGTAGGACCGGCACTGTGGATAACTTGATAAAAGACACTTTAATCCTATTAGTACCAGGGGCGGATCCAAAATTTTCAGATGACCTGGGCTGAATAGGAATTATACTAGGATTAAATATAGGAGGGATGGGTTAAATGTGAAAAATGAACTTAACCATTTTGGAAATCATTTAGTAAACTTACTAGTTATGGCATTTATTTTGGGGTTGAATTTGAAGTTGTTACAACTCTGCTTGTCCCCCACTCGGAATCAACCGTTTATTACAATATACATGGGCCATAAGGTTTCTCCTCAACTCAAGGCATGGAACGAGTGTTTGAGGGACAAACGTATTCAGAGCATTGGCAATGTTAATGGAAACTCTAATGCAAACATATTGTTTATTGCCCCCCGAGTGTCCTTTCATCAATCTGAATCAGCTTTTTTAAATAACTGCCAATGTCCATCGCCACTTTCTCTGCCATGAAATTTTGAGGCAAATTATGAATCTTAATCTAGAACTCAGCATGGTTCAAACCCATATCTAGAGGTCTGTCAACCACTTCAATTTGTTTGACGGCTATTAAGTTTTGTTCAAAGGACCGCGGTCATCCTGAATTACTCGAGAAATGTCACTCTCGTGGTACAATGAATCAGAAAGTGTGTATCTCCAATTTGTTCTATGGTTACTCTTCTTCTTGGACGCCAGACCATTGCAATTGTCTCACGGAAAGCAATAAAATGGACAAACTTGTCTATAACAACCATAGCTATGGCAGGAAAACATTGGGCTCTACCTACCCCACCAGGCCACCACCAACATCTAAGGCACCAGAATCAAACACCAACCCACTATCCTCCTCTTCCTTATTAGCCATTCTCCCATATGCATGAGTTGTGTTCTCCATCAGTTGATCCACACACAAAAAAGAGCAAGACAACAATTAACCGAGAGGCACAAAGAAATTAGCAACCATTCACAAGGAATGTATGAACCCTCGGCCAAAGCAGCACTTCAACCGGACGAAAACGGAGAAATCAAGCATGGAAAAAACGGAATATTTTGAGAAAATGCATCTATTTGTCTCAGCCCAAATATCGACGAAGCTCTCTGTCTTCCGAAGCCATAAATTGCAGGTGAACTCCTTCAAGGTTGACAACCGTGAGAAGATGGAGTTGATGCGCCGCGGCCACTGCTAGAGTTCATCTAGGGATGGACTGGGACGGGTCGCCCGACCCGAGCCCGGGCCTGGTACTGTTTTGGCCCGACCTGGCTCACTAGTGTATAGGCTCGGTCCCCACCTGGGGCCCGACTCGGTGGCTATAAGGACGGGCTTTGAGCTCGTTTTTTGGGCCCGACTAGGCCGAGTCTGATTGCACTATTTTTAATTTATTGCTTAGTCCCGTCCCGAAGCTTGGCCCCACTTGGTACTGTTTAGGCCCGAGCCAGTACCAGGCCCGAAATCCCTAAGCCCGAGCCCGGCTAGTCCCGACCCGATCGCAATCCACCCCTAGGTTCATCGCCATAGTTGTCCTAGGTATTTCTAAATAGGGTTGGATCGGGCCTGGGACGGGATACGGGCAGGTACGGTACCGTCCCGAGCCCGAACCGGGCCGGTTCTATTTGATTGTTTTTTTAGTTTATCGTATTTATCCCAACCCCCACCCCTAAACCCCGCCAGAACACCCACCCAGCCCAAACCCAAAAACCCAAAAAAAAAAGCCCGGACCGGCCGGGCCGGTCCCCATGTATGCAGTCCCGGACCCGCCCCCAAACCCCCCTGGGTCGGGCCTAGGCCCGGTACCGGAACCGGTTTACCAGGCCGTGTCGGTCCCGCACAATGGGGGCCGGGCCGGTTCCCGGGCCGGTCGGACCAGACCCAGGCCAAGCCTAGCCAGGAGGCAATTGAATGGCATATTTATTTTTACGTCACTGGCCCCAAATGTAGATGTGTACTATGTAGAGGAAGTATGAAAATATTGTATTAACGTGGTTAAATACGGGCAGTAAGCCAGTCAGATTACAGGACTGGCAAATATGGATCACAATGATTCTATGCTATTAGTAGTACAACTATAGAAACCTTTTCCAACAACAAAGGGATTAATATGCACTATGCAGTAAAGGCAAACGGATTCTTTCAAGGCAAAATCATGGGTGGTTTCCATTTGTTGAATTCAACTAAATCCCTGTTCACTATTGTTCTATTATGAAGCCAGAATGTTTCCGTGGACTGATGGAATTGTCTCACCTTCTTCTGCAGTTCCCAGAGGATTGCACCAAATGCAGAACATGCTTCGAGGGTGGGAGAATAGACCCATAAGCACCTCACTTTTCTACCCCTGGATATCATCTCTTCGACGTCTCTATCTGCCAAAAGAACAAAGTCAAACTGACACTCACCAGGAACGTTAATGTGGTGTGTGTGGATCAATTCCAAAACTAACCAGGTATTGATTCTAGGTACTCTAAAAGTTCAGGGCCAATCCGCGTGGATGGCCATTTGATTGATATCTGAGTGTAGTCTATAACATTCTGAAATGGCATTTCTATTTGATCTGATATAATGACTGGAACACACTCCTGTGTGGCATTACAAAAAGTGCCATCAAATGATCAAGTAAAAGCAGAATCCATATTTGTGCAGAAAAGATGATTCCACCAGTGGTGGAGGTGAAAAATATGATTACCACAAAAAAAGACTCATAAAAGCGGAGAGTCCATGATGATTCACCACGTGGAGCAAGGCAAAACTTGGCATTACGAAGATGCTGAAAATATTGCACTCTCCCCAGCTTATCTGGACCACTGAATTTCAACTCTGGAGATTCCAACTGCAGATAAGATTTTCTTAAAATTTGCTTTTTTTTTGGGGGGGGGGGGGGTGAGGGACATTATCATAAAATTTACTCTCAACATTCATTCCTTTCATTTGTTAGTAGATATGCAATTCATTTTTTCAATAACCGCATAGCTTTCGTATAGGGGCTCTCTAATAGGAGAGGTTAATCTAGACACACCTTTTCTGGGAATTGTTTTGCAAGTTTGATCAGTTGAAGCCGACCACTCTTTCCTTGCGCTCGGCCTAGAAAGTTTGCCAAGTACTTCCTTTTTGACAAAGGCAAAGGCTCAACTAACCGAGAGCTGTGTGAACTAGTCATCCCATCATCAACATTTCCAGGGATGATAATGTCTTTCCATGTATTAAAAGCACTAGTGTCTCGTTTATCTGTTCTGTCACCCTGCACCATATGGGTTTTTTTTTTTCATATTATGAAAACTTGGCAATAGTGCTAGAAAATTTAGGAAAAATTGATTGTAATAATCCCAACTATTGGCGGTCCGCTTATAATAATCCCAACTATCAATTATTTTAGAATAATCCCAACTTTAGGGTCCTTCTGCCAATAACAGTCCCTGTAAATAAATTCATGTACTTTCTGAAGTGGATGAGAAGAGATATAGCAAGTAATCTCTATAAATAATCTTAACTTTTAATTTTTACGCTTAATTTCTATTTAAAATTCACTTTTATAGAAGGTAATATTTGGTCATGGACTATTATTGGCGGATGGTGCATATAGTTGGGATTATACAAAAATAATCAATAGTTGGGATTATTGTTAGCGGACCGGCAATAGTTGGGATTATTATTTTCAATTTTTCCGAAAATTTAAATGCATGTCAACCAGCACAGATCAAGAGTTTTTGGCATATAGATTTTTTTTATAAAAAAAAACAGGATTTCCTTTTTGGTCCTTGCCTATAAAGTCTTCTTTCCTTAATTGGTAAAATAAATTTTTAAGTTACTACTCGTTTTGCATATTCACATCTACCACAATTAATTACTCCAATCACATATTACAAGGTCAATATTGGAAGTCTAAAAGAAAGTATCGATTCATTAAAACCCAAGCAATTTTACTGAGGAACTTATTAAGGGATGGAGGTAGTAAACTAGTAATCCGCAACTAAAGTCCCTTAGATTCAGAAGGTATACGAATACTATCTACGTGCCAACAATCAAAGGAAACCAAATTCAGCAAAAACAATAATCAGAACAAAATAAAAGACATAAGCATTGCTTAAGCTCCAATCATTTTGATCATAATTTTCAACAAGGGGGTCTCAGAGAGGGTGTAATCTTATCCACAACTTCTTGTATTTTGCATGGGAAGGATTTGAACCTTGTGTTAAGCAATATTACACCACCACCATCATCATCCGAGCCTTATTCCCAAAAGAGATAAAGCAATCTTTCACCAACTCAATTAAAAATACTTGTATAAGAACATTGAAATACTTTATGATATTGATCTTTTAAGATGGAACTCCAAGTCTTAATCGAGTTCAAACGAGCAATTGATCTTACTAAGATTACAACAAAACACGCGGGTTTCAAGATTGTTCTATTCCAAAAAATCATTATCGTGCAGGAAAATTTTCAATCAATTCACGCTGACCTAATATAAATAATAACTCACATATAAGACCTTAGATAACACTTCATATCATGTTGACCTTCTTAGACATGACCTCTTGTCTAATAGCCTGAACATCACGACACAAGGTGAGAGACTCATTTAATAAAAGATATTACCTCAGGAGTAAGAATGATAGAGCGATTCAAATATGTTGCCCACGACTTGAACAAATGAGCTCCAGCTCCGCTGTGATTGAGAAAGAGCACAAATGCATTAGTATCTCATGGAGCTAATCATGTTGATATTCAGGGTCCAGACCAATTAAATAGAACCAAATTTAAGAAATGTGGGGCACTTTAGAGGTTATGATAGGTCACTTGTTTTTTTTTCTAGTTACCGATATTGGGTCTTTGGCAGGGCATGTGGCACCCACAATCATCATGTATATAAGAGCTTATATTGTAAAAAACAATCAGATGCCAAAGTAACTAAAAGGGCATTACCTTGGGAAGACAAATATGTGATTGCGGCCTCCAGATAACCTGAAATATGGCATTTGACTTAAAACCTGTAAGAAAGAAAGTGAGAATTTAAAAACGAAAAAAAAATCCTTTAAAAAAAACATTTCATAACCAACTGAAATAACAATGCCACGAAATGTGCAGGGTGAACAGAACTCCATTGCAGCAGAACTAAAGCGTAAGATACACCAAACCAAAGATTGCCTGGTCAATCAAATATAGCCAGTTTCAAGATTCTGAGGAATTGCTACCTTGACGTAGGTTTGATTTATTTCTTTATCATTGAGACCACCCATCATCCGTACACATTTAACATAACTTGGCACAAAAAACAAATCTGCCTCCTCTTTCCTCCTAGTCCGCAATCTTGATTGGGAGAGAAGCCTGTGAATTTTGACCTGCTCAGCATTATAAAAGTAAACAAAAGATCAGAAAAAGATGTGGAAGAAACACATCGACAGTTTCAAATATCAAAATCTATTTTGAGCATTCTAATAGAGGTGATTTGACCTCAAAATGGGAGTACAGCCGGAAAATCATTTTGGTTGGGTAATGATACCAATCACTGTCTAACAGGGACATGAAAACACTCTTCAATTTGTAACAATATGAATTGGAAGCTCCAAGATACAAGTTTTCAGAACAAGCAGGTAACCTTGGAGATCAAAATAACAATTGCAACTACACAAAAATGATCAGGAACTAACAAAACAGGTAAGGTCGCTCCTAATGATTGTCTTCTCTCTTCAAAAATGACGCATTAATCATACATGCGAAGTTCATATGATCTTCATTGATATGTGAAGTGGTAAGAAATGACCTGAGAGCCCCATTGTCCTTTGAGGCATGATTCAGGGGATATATTTCCTTCCCGGCCGGACAACAGCAGATCGAGACCATCAATCTCGCCCGCCTCGTAAACGTAGATTTTCAGGGAAAGGTGGGGCCCGTACCCGCGTTGGGGCCACGAGACAGACCCTCCGTCAGAGAACCGTACGGCGTCGTTTGCGGATCCGAGCTCTCCAGTGGCGTAGTTGGTGGGCGGGAAGGAACAAGGGTCGATGAACTGGTGGAATAGACGAGTGAGGAAGTAGGTGGTGATGACTAGGGCTAGTGCGCCGATCTGATGGGTGCGGGTGCATGGCGTTGCGGAGGAGTGGTGATGGGACGCCGAGCCAAAGAGCCTGATACTCTTGCCGCTCATTGTTGTCGGAGAGAATTCAGTGCGACGGTGGAAGGAAGGGGAAATCGCCAACCAATGTGAAGGTCCATCAGAACTTCATATGGATAACCACAGGGAAACAACTTGCGCTGGTTCGTTTCCCTGGCGCCTAGAAGCAGCAGCAGAGCGGGTCGAAGGCATTAGAATGTTTTTTGTACTGAAATTTGCCCGTCTGGTTTGAATTGGTTTGGTCGGGTCTGGTAAACGTCTGGTTTTTGTGTTTTTTATAACTACGGAAGTTTGGTCTGATCTGGTCTGGTCTGATTTGGTCTAGGACTGAAAACAGTCCAAGAGAAATCATCCGGGGAAACTGGAAAAGAGAGAATGTAAAAGTAGTACATTTGTTAATTAGTGTTTAACTTGTACTTTAAAATGTGATTTTCAACATAATATTATAGTTTTTTTCAAAAACAAACATAAATTTATAGAAATTATATATTACTACTTCCATTACCCTAATAGAAATACTACTTATAGAAATTTATAGGTGTAATTTTTAAGAAAAATATTGTGACTCATAATGAGTTGATAAAATAAGAATAAAGTAAGAATGAATTAGAATCATACAAAAGTTATCAAATATAATATGGAACAATAATAGGGAGATAGAGGGAGTATTAAATGTCGCGCAAGTTGAAAAAGAAAAAGTCAATCATGCGTGATAGAAAAAATGTAGTACCTTTTGTGTAATACCGAGTAGATGAAGTGAGAAACAGTTTTTTTGAACTTTTAACTTCAAAATAAGTTCAAACTGTGAAAGCACTAATTTTTGTTTTTTAGCAAAAAATTGAAAATATATTTTTATTCTTTTGTGTACCTTCTTTAGTATTATGCAAGTGTTTGGGTTGCTTCTACTTTAGATGACGAGTCGTTTAAGATATTTAAAAGAAAGTATTGATAGTAAAAAGTGATGGTGTTTAAGGAAAATAATTTTAAAATGCATAAGTTGATATTATTAGAAAATAATGATATATTCTGAAAATAATGTGTGGGAAAAAATAAGAGTTCATTTTTTTTATCGTTAAACCAACAATTATATTAAATCAAAAAAACGTTTGTTACTTGACTGACAATACAATCGGAGATAAACCGGAAAAAAACGATAAAAAATTTTCTGTCTGTCGTCCGCCCTTGAACCGGACTTACAATCCATCACCTCTATAGAAGGTGATAAAATTTGTTAATCTTGTAATGGGCTTGCTAGGAAATAAGAACACGCCTAAAAGACTAAAACAACATGCAATTCGAAAGAAAACACAAACAAAATAAAACGGAATTAAAACAGAGTTTACTCATCTTCTACCAAATACTAGACTTTCTTGCACTCCATGGTGGCGGCTCGGGAGGGGGACGAGCTCGTCGTTCATCCGCCTCAATAGCCATGCTTTTGTATTGATTGGCAATATCTTCCATTGATATCTCTTGCTGCTGAATTGAACTCAAGCTCCACCACAGTTTATCCACCTTTCCTTTGTGTACCCTCGCCTATTGACCACAAACAACAGCAGAGTTATGTACCCTATTTTCTTTGTGTACTCACGGACCTCCATTGCACACTTCAGTTGCTCGCACCAGCATATTCATGGAGGCAGATCTCTACCTACGCCCTTTCTACCAACATCAAGGCTTCTCCTTAAACAAAAAATAATTTCACTGTCGCGGAGAAAAATGACCTCCACAGCAATGGCAACAAGTGACCTCCGATCAATAGCGGCGGAAGTAATCTTCAGCGACGCAGTTTTATTTTTCGCTGGCGTCCCTTCAATCTTTACGATGGTGATGAGATCCAGCGGTGACAAAGGTTTCGAACCACCACGATGACCACAGTGAATGAGCGGAAAAAAACCACCAGGGTTTCAACGCGGGCCACGCTTGCAGCAACAAATTGCAGTGGCTAGATGCTCTGGATATGGGAATGCGGCGGTGACTGCTTGGGAAGGGACTGTGGTTATACAAGGGCTTGTGATAGAGTTGGGGTTGGGGTGGGGCTGGATCGGGATAGGGGCTTGAGCTGGGCTGTGGATGGTGAGGATCGTGCGGCTGGGGGAGGCTTGCTGTCGGAGAGGGGCAGGGGCATGGGGCGGTTGGTCACTAGAAGTCACCGGCGGGTCACCAACATTGATGGACAGTGGCGGACGCCGACGGGCGGTAATGGGCGTTAGTGGTGGTTAACGATGATTACTATCTAACTGGTTATGTGTAACTGGCAGGCGAGGGTAACTAGTCGGGCAATTAGCTATAAGCCTATAACTGGTGGCGGGTAATTGTAAGTGGTCAGGCGAGTATATGTAACTGGCGGCATGTAACTGTAAGTGGTCGGGGCGAGTATGTGTAACTGGTCGGGCAGGTAATTGTGTAACACTTGAGATTTAATATAAACAGATTAATAGTACAACTCATACCAACGGAGGTGCATCTCCTTTTAAGGGAGCTCATCACCTAAGAACTCCAAAGTTAAGCATGCTTGCACGAGAGTAGTCTTGGGATGGGTGACCCCCTAGGAAGTTTCTCAGGGCGCGCATGAGTGAGGACAAAGTGCGCGGTAAAGGCTCGTGGTGGTTTGTGAGGACATTACTAGAGGTCTGGAGGCTGTGTGGGTAACTACCTCGGGTCCTGCGGGGCCAGGATGTTACAAATTGTAACTGGTGTGTCGAGTAACTGTAATTGTTGTCGGATTGAGTAACTATAACTGGTTGATTCGGGTAACTGCAACTGGTCGGGCAGGTAACTGTAACTGGTTGGTCGAGTAACTGTAACTGGTGTCGCGATGGGTAACTGTATCTAGTTGATTCGGGTAACTGTAACTGGTCGGGCGGGTAACTGTAACTAGTCGGTTGGTAATTGTAACTGGTTTGATCGAATAATTGTAACTGGTATGGTCGGATTTACATTAGACTAATTTACGGAGTATTTACTGTAGAAAATAACTACCGAGTATATAGTTGACCAAATTAAACGGTGCCGGAGAAGATGTCCTGAAAGGCTGAAACCTTGAGAAAGATTAACCACTACAATATTTAGAAAATAGCTACAGTCACACGTAGTTAACCAAATTAACGTGGAGTGCAGTGAAACTAAGCAGATGAGTCCAAAGATCAATGGGGAAATTTGATGAAATTGGTTTGCCAATTTTCTTCTCTCGTCGTCAAAGATTTTGATTTGCCGCCCAGGTGAGTCTCAAAAGTCTAGTAGTTTAGGTTGCGTATAAATATTCTCGCTCGCATAAACGGATGTAAACTAGTTTACCACCCTCCACCCACGTAAAATATTTTACACGATACAGTGTAAAATGTTTTAAAAAAGTGCCCTACAGTTTGCATTAAATAATTAAAACAAACGGTGTAAAATGTTTACATCTCCACACTTTACATGCGAAATGTTTACTTTACATCCTAACAAACGGGCCCTTAGATATTAATTAATTTTTAACAATTGAGAAATATAATCAAAACGCACTAGTGTTTTAAAAACGGTCGAATTCCTAATGCAAATTACACACCGAGCAAGTCTCGACTTACTCCAGTATTGCAGTGGAAGTTCTTGGGGGGTAAAAACCAAAAACTCAGCATTCGTCAATGTTGTTTTCATTGCCAGCTCGTCTTGCATTAGTATCTCCACTAAATAATCAAAATTCCATTCGCATCTGTATCGAGACATTAAAAAAATAATTCACCATGAGATTTTTTTCACTATGAAAAGATTAAAAAGTAAAATTGAAAACTATATCCAAACTATTACTTTGGGTTAGCCGGGAAGAAATACAAGGCGATGTTTTGATCTGTTGGCCCTGAGGTACGGAAGCTGTGAGGCCAAATAGCATCTTTTGGGAACATTTCCAGTTCAAGCATGGGTGGAAATGAAGTTGCTTTCCTGTAAACCTTCTCGCATGCTTTAACAGATAAATGAGCTATGATGCGTACTATTTAGTAGTGCATAAACACTACATTTTAGAATGATTTTACATAATGTTTACTTAGCTTTTGTACAATTACGGTTTAATCTTTATCTTCTTAAATTAAAGTATAATTAGAAGATATTAAAATATTTTGAGATGTAAGCAAAAACATGATGAAAAAAAGAGAAAAGAGCTTGAAAGCATAAGAAAGGAGCATTGGAGACAAGAGGAAGCTTCATGGAGGGACAAAGATGTGTGAAAAATCGGATATGATTCGACCCGGAGATCATAAGAGATCAAATAAAGCAAGTGAACATGGGAAAATCAGATTATGTCTTAGACTCAACCACCTCACTTCTCCTATAAAAACACATCTTTCCTTCCTATTTTAGATACCAATTTAATCCCCTCTTTCATATACACTTTATTCTTGTAATTTAGGTAGTTTTTCCATCTTGGTTTTGTTACTTTGAAGCTTTATGAATTGTAAGTTATTTTCTTTAATCTTCTTCCTTGAATAGTAATTTTTCTTTAATGAATTGTAAGTTATTTTCTTTAATCTTCTTCCTTGAATTGTAAGCTTGATTTTTCCTTAATGAGTTATTAAGTTATTAATGAGTTATTTTCTTTAATCTTCTTCCTTGAATATTAATTTTTCCCTTAATACTATCTCTATATTAATGTTGGGGAGTGTTACTAAGATGACAATTAGTTAACATATCGACATTAGTTAGAGTAGTATTTATTTTCTTCCTCTATATTAATGTTGGGGAGTGTTACTAAAATGACAATTAGTTAACATCTTGACATTAGTTATAGTAGGATTTATATCTTCTTTAATATTCTTCCTTGAATATTAATTAATTCCTATTCATATTTTATTTTAGTATTTTGAGCGTTACTTAAAGGATCAACTAGTTTTGTCTCATATATTAATTATTACTAGAATCGATCGACGAATACGCTTGTTGATATAATCGTTCGATCTTTTCACGGTAGTAAACTTGGATTATTAATGCATGCGTCTCATGGTTAATAATCTAAGGGGAATTAATTATATTAATTAAACCAATAAACCGCTTGTGTTGAGGTTATCAATTTCAATTGTTTTCATCTTGAATTTATTGCTACTATCGAGTATATATACGGCGCGTGTTCTATATTAATTCGGTAGTAAGTTTTATTAATGAACACGTCTCGTTATTAATAACTACCCTCGATGAACTGGATAACTCCTGGATTGAGTATTCGAGAGGAAGAT